GAAGACTGACAAAAGGGTTTTTTTTGGCTCGAGGAACTCGAATCTGATGTCATCTCTTTGAAATTTTTGATAAAAAAAATTTTTTGAGACAAAGACCCAGTTTTTTTACGAAAAAAATTTTTTTTTCATGAAATTTCAACAAAGGTTCTTTTTGGGTCGAGGGATTCAAGTCTGATGTTAGCTTTTTAAAATTTTTCATAAAACAAATTTTTTAGGAGAAGGGTTATTTTTTACGGAAAAATTATTTTTTGGTGAAGTTTGACCGAAGGGTTTTCGAAGTCGAGAATTACGAATCTCAAATCAGGTTTTACATATTATATAAACAGAAACTTCAGTGATATTATAGAGGATGATTTCTACGAGAAAGAGCTGAGCGAGTCCACAGACGAGCGTTACTTGTTAATATAACAGTACGCGAGAAAAGTTCAGCTCAATCTGATTCTTCTATCGAAAGTTCTCATGTAAACGGACATATTGATCGAGCTTATACTCTGCACTTTTTAAATATGCCTGCAGAATCATTTTGTGTTTGTCTTCGTTTCCTGTGACGCACTATTCGATTAACATATGTGTGAATAAATGAACTTAAAAAAACATCTCAAATTAGTAAATAGACGTCATAGATTTGGCATATAAATATTGTTCGTAATTAGTGATCATTACAATGTCAGTTTTCTTTCAAATACAACATTTCATTATTTGTCATGTTGATTAATTTATGACAAAAATGGATAGCAAACGTTTAATTCATCGATTCTATGATTATTTATACAATTACAATTTATTTATACCTGAAAATCTGTCCGATGGTGATAATACTGATACTGAACATGAAGAATCATCAATGACCTTAAAACAACAGAAATATTCGACTTGGTTGTATATCTTTTTACTCATTGGTAAGTTCTTCGATAGAATATATACACAATGGCTTAATTCTGTTTTTACCTAAATACATCAAACAACACTTGAAATAGAATTAAAAGGGAGATATCCATCAATTTTAAACATCATTTCACAATTTTGCTTTTAGTTTGTCTGTATACTCTTTTCTCAATCGCTTTAATCAACCTGCAAATTCGAACAACTATTGATTCTAATATAAATCCTTCTCGTTTCGATGAACTTTATCATGATAACAAGCAAACATTATTATGTCCCTGCACTAAAGCTGCAATACCTCTTAAAAGCTTTGTGAAAAATACTGTTCAATTTCATCCTGTTTGCTCCAGTATTTTTGTTAGTAAAGAATGGATTGATGCATTATATTCTCCAATGGCAAGTAGATACACACCAAGTCAATTTGAAAAAACAGCTAGTTATCAAGTAAGTTGATTAAATATGTGCCACGTACACAACGCACATATCAATATTAATATAGTGAATCAGAACATTGGACCGGAATTAACTCTAATCGATACGAATCTCCTCAGATTTCATTGAGATTTCGTAGTCATTTTCGTTCATATATTGTCCTTCGTTACCTTTTCATTTCAGATTGAACGCACACTCAATTTTTCTCTCTTTTGTAGTTTCAAATGCTATCGGATTTATGTTCACTCTCTCGAAATCGATCTTATCAAACTCTGCTCGACATTGATAGCCATGAATTCGCTACGGTTCATGTTCATACAGAAGAACAAGTTCGTTCGAAAATAATTGCTATCATCGAATTTTTCAAGAATAGTGCATCTACACAAATCATTTCATTTCTCAATTATTCACAAGATGTTACTCGTGTGCCAAATTTGATTTCGGCTTTGAATACAAATGCACTAGTTGAAATTGTAAAACGTAATAATATGTACGATCCAGTACTGAAATACACATATATTGATGCTGTACTTGGGATGAGACCTATTAGATACTTTTGTAGCAAAGACAAGATACAGAAACTAACCATTCTTTATGCCAACAATATCACCAGTGATCCATCTGCGAAAGATCGACAAACTTGGTCAAATCGTTATATATCAAAGAGTGACGTTCTCGGCTTTTATTCAGGTTGTTTTGTGTTTGAAGCTATCTCTCGAAGCACGCTGACATGTTTGTATAATCAAATTTGTTTGGAATATCTATTCAGACATTCTCCTGACCTTAAAAAGGTAATGTTTGTTAAGTCGTTTTACGACAATATCATGCATAGTGTTTCATCTCTCTTTTAGGTTAGCTCAAATTGGACCGAACATATTCTATATTCGAATGCAACACTTGTTTCTGTAAAGAATCATTTAAATGATCTTTTTATATATAATTGGTCAACGAAAATCAATTATCTCGATTATTTTCATAAATGTGCTCCTTCATTTTGTACATTTACTAAAACAAACCAGAAAACTCTGTCTGATGCAATTGCGTTGTTTATTAGTCTCTACGGCGGTCTTATTATTATACTTCGTTTAATTACCAAATTCTTAGTCAATATTGTACTGAATTTTTGCCACCGCTCCAAATGTATGAGCAATAGTTCTGGTAAATAGCGTTTAGGAAAATTCCTGTGAATTGAAATGCATTGTTTTCTATATCTATAGGGGCTCCAAGTACAATTAAACAAAAACTGATTCGATCAATAAAATCATCAAATATGTTCAAAAATAGTAAAGAACGGACAGAAAACGATATTAAACAACAACAGATCATGACATATGTTCGTGTGATTCTAATAGCAGGTAAAATTACTTTTTATCTATCATTAAAAGAGATTTCTTTCTTTTTGACTACTGTTTATAGCTACATTAATAATTATTTTTCTTTTCAATTGCCTTCATACTGGAATAATGATTATAAATGAAGAGAAACCATCGTTAATCAAATACAGTGAATTACATAAAACATATTCTGAATCGTTAAAATGCCCTTGTTCTACTATGGTGACGCCATATGCAGAATTAATCTCGTTGACACCAACTTATCATCAAGTATGTTCAAGTGATTTTGTTGATGAACGATGGCTCAAAGTATTGAAAGCATCGAAACATCCATATGTTTCTATAGATGGTCGTAATATCTTATTTGTACAATTTAACCTCTTGTCAACTCTTTGTAAATTAGCTGATGAATACATTAACGGCACTATTAATCAATTTATGATGCAATCTCTTCTAACATCAAATGTACTTACTGAAAAGACATTCAAAATACAATTAAATACAACACTGAACCAATTTTTTCAATCAACAAAATTATCTTTTAGTCGCTTTATCCGCACCGAATACCTCATTCTCGATGTAAACCAGCCTTATACATTGTCGAACGATGATATAATTGATTCATTTCATCCAAAATTAGTTGCAACTATGGTTGAATCAAATCGTAGTAAATCTTTGAAAGTAAGATAATCATGGTCGCATATATAAATAAGAGAAATTAGTGAAATTATAAGAGTAAATAAATGCGAAAACCTCGGATTTTAACTAAGACCTATGCGTACTACAGAAAGTGTTCAATAATCTCTGAGTCAGTCGCCCAATCAATCTCATCTCCGTACTACAGCGAGACACTAATTTAACAATACATTATTCAAAATTCCGTCACAACCATATTGCCCCCTCTATACAGCTATCGTATCAATGAACGGATAGAGGACACTATGATAGATTCGAGCAATGCGCTCACTTTCTTAGTCTGCTATACTACGACAGACTGTTTTAAGTCTATTCTCGGTAACATATTATAGATGCTTTGCCTATCATCAGAGCGTTATCCGTGACGGAATCAGCCGGGAGAACTTTTGCTTACGTCGCACTCAGTTTTTGCCCACAAACGAGACGCATAGAAAAAGACTGAACAGACAGACAAACGTGAACCTTTATATATAGGTATCTTGGGAAATTTTTCTGTAAGCCAGTCACAAGACGCAACCGATTGAGATATTGATGAGATGTTATACGGTGGAGAAAATTTTAGACCAATCTGACTCCTATCGAAAGTTATCGTGTCGTCTAATAGTGTAGTTACTTTTAAGGACACAAAAAGAAATACAACACTCATTCTCATCCTTTTGGTTATTTAGTTAACATTTCGTTTCTCCAAATCTAACAATAATAATTCAACATCGTCTAGCTGCATTTGTGCTATTCATTCTCATTGTGAAAACTTAATTCCAATGTACGATTATAGTCCCATTTCAAAGAGCACTTCAAATTTTACATTTTCTTATTGGTTGCCGGGTTGGAAACGCGGTTGTTCTACTATGGATTCTCTTGTATTAACAGATCTTCAATGTTTATATTCTCATACAGATTGTTTACAACGTTTAATACTCAGTATTAAAGCAACATTTATGGAGTTATCTTCTAACACAAGATATTGGTTCGAACCACATTCTCTTATTTACAACTCAACAAAGAATCGTTTTCATCCCAACACATCCATTGAAGTAATACTTGGAAACATAATGCTCGAAGATTGGAATGCATCTGTTTCATACGAGAATTTTTACAAAAGTTGCTCACCAATTTCTTGTACTTATCTCAAACACCGAGTTCGTACAAAAACTATTTTCCAAGCTACAATAACGTTAATATCACTAATCAGCGCCGTTGCAACGTCAATATATTTTATCATAAAATTTCTGGCTAAATTGATCATCTATTTATGGAAGCGATATACAAAGAAACAAACAGATAAACAAAGTATGTATTGATAATTCAATTCAGAGATCTATCTCACATTTATTGCTTAGAGATAGAATTTTTCGAGAAGATTTCACGATAACTCTACCGAATTTGAGGAGAATTTATATTTGTTTAGATGCAATTCAACTAAAATTATTCGATCGATTAAAATTAATTATTTTAAAGTCGATAAATTCTTTATATAAAACATTAATTAATTTAAATATATTTCTTCGTCGAGATTTTAGTAGTGATACTAATCTGGAAGAAGCGAAATATCTTGGTCAATGGTCTACTCGTCTTTATATTTTACTATTTATTCTATGCAATCTTATTTTTATTCTTTATACTGTTGTTCAATCCGAACCAATAACAAAATTATTTGATCAACCTCCATCATTCGATCGATACAATCATCTTCGAGGGGTTTATGGTGAAAAACTCAAATGTCCATGTTCAAACATTGCATCAAAATATGAAACATTTCTGCAAATTCAACCAAAGTATCATCCGGTGAGTATATCAAATAGTTCTAATCAGATAATGTTCAATATTGAACGAAAATCGAAAGAAAATATGATTAAATGTCAAATTTTAGATTTGTTCAAGTTCATTTGTTTCGAATGAATGGCGAATTAATCTAACAATTCATCTGATTTCTGATTTATTTATTTACGAGAAAAATGATTATCGTCTTTTTCTTGTTGCACATTTAAAATATTTAAAAGGTTTATGTTCAAATTCGATTGAAATTGTTGAAAATACGATTAATGAATTAAATTCATCATTATTAATAACGAATGAAATTTTATTAGAAAAAGAATTTCATAAACAGATCAATTCCATTATTGAACAAACAAAATCCAATGCTCCATTAACATATCTCACTTTTCTTTCATTAATTCGACTCTTTTATCATAACAATGCTTATATATCGAAATATCAAACAAATCATCAATATATTGTTCCTTGGAATAATTTCCATGATGTTTTTGCTCCAACTGAACCTGTTATATATGAAAATAATTGTACTTGTGGATTAAATTTGGATTGTGTAACTCAAGCGGGATTTTATGATGAAAATTTGACAAAGTTTATTCCAATCAAAGGAATCAAAATGGGATGTTTACCAAGTGAATCATTTCGTTTGTCAACTTTAGAATGTTTTTATGACGAAAAATGTTTAAATTCTCTTCATCAAATGACCAATACTTCTCATTTTCTCATTCCACTTTCATTACCAATGAATAAATCTTGGATTCATCAAACCATTGATGAATTAATTCATAATTTATTCATTGAAACATGGTCAATCAATCTAAGTTATTCTTCATATTTTCATCAATGTTTTCCATCCTCATGTTCTTACATTTACAGTGAATCATTTAATATTCGTTATATAATTACATTTTTACTTGGTTTACAAGGCGGTTTAACAATTGTTCTTCGATGGATTTGTCCAAAAATAATTCAAATTCTCTTTGAAATCCATCGATATCGAAAAAAACGATCAAATCTTATACATACAATTACAATGCACAATAATTCGATAGTCGAAACAACGTTAACAAATCAAAGACATGAGTAATGATATTTTCTTTGATTTTCATCAACATTTCCTGTTTTTTGTTTAGGGAACAATTCATTCGAACATTTAAATATTCTTTCAAATTTCTCAATGTTTGTATTTTATATACAGTTTTGATTATATTTTTGATTGTATTTTATATCTTTATTTTATCAAAAGGTAAGATTTCTGTAGCTTTATTCAACATGAGAATTCAGATATCGATGTATTTCGTAGATTATTCAACAAGTACAACAATTAATAATCAAACAACAACAACAGAAGAATTAACAGCAATGACAGCAATAACAACAAGTACAACTCCAGAAAGTGAGTCAACTGAATATGTACAGAGGATCGCTCATAATCTAAAGATGTTCACGCATATCTTTTATCAAGAAATCACTGTTACAGTTTCAATAGAATTTCTTTGTTTCTTTAGTAATACAATGTGAACCATCATTTGAAACGAAACGAATAGAGGTACCTGGTTGTTCATTAATGCGTTCAAAATTAATTGGAGATTTTAATAATGATCATCGGGACGATTTTGCATATTTTTGTGATAATACTTCAGCTATTCACATACTCCTTGGAGATCCAAATGATGTCTTTCGAATAGGAAACATTTTTAAAATTCCAGATAATCGTATATTGTATGAAACGGTTACTGGTGACATTAACAATGATAATAAACTTGATCTGATTTGTTTACATACAATTCATGAAGATGAACTGACCATCTTATATGGTGATTCTAATGCAACTTTCATTTATACAACCATTTCAATAGATAATATCAGAGATTTTGTACTATTTGATATGAATTATGACAACTATTTGGATCTCGTGGGTATATCTTATGCTGAATCTTCTATTGTAATATATCTCGGAAATGGTCAAGGAGGATTTGTAAGATCCACGACGTTACCTATGAAATATCGCGTATATGATGGATCACTTACGGTCGATGACTTGAATCATGATAATTATTTAGATATAGTGGTTACTTTTGGAAATTCTCACGAGATTCTCATTTATCTTGGCTCTCATAATGGTACTTTTGAAAAGTATAAAGAGATTCGTTTAGGATTTGAAGCGAGAGTGTATGGTCTACATCTCGTGAATTTGAACAATGATGCACATTTAGATATTCTTTTTTCTTATAATGACAAAACATTTGTCAAAATGTTTGGGTATGGAAATGGAGATTTTAGTCCAATGGAAAAATTTACCATCGGTGATTTCAGAAGTATTGCTCCCGCTGCTGTTAATGATATGAATTGTGACGAATATTCGGATATTATCATTGCTCTTCAAGATCCACCTTATATAGGAATATCTCTCGGAACAAGAAATGCCAATTATCATATTAAATCAATAAATGATCCTTCAATTTCTGAATATTGGAAAGAAACTCCTAAAATTATGATTCATGATTTGAACAAAGATCATTTTCAAGATATTTTAGCTTTCCACAATTATTATTCGAACAGTATTTTCATATTCTTAAACACATGTCAATGTTGCTTAACTGGTGTTGTTCATTTCAATAATTTAACTTCTCATTAGTTTTCAGCTTTTATTCAATGTAAAATATTTCAATGAATTACAAATTATTTTCATAATTCTTTCGTTCAATTGCTTGTGTCTGTTTTCTTTTGCGAGTTTTGATGTTGTTATTTTAGATAGGAATATTTGCAAAATGGAAGAACATCCACGATCATTCTAATCGCATCACTTTTTTGTAAAGTAAAACAAGACGAATTTTGTATTGATTGTTATAATTTTCAAATTCCAATCATCAACAATGTTTTGGAACAAAGTAAATATTTATAACGTGAGTCATACAATGAATATATCACAATATCAAGTCAAGTTTTTCTAGAATCAATCAGATAATGATCATACAGCTGAAATGAGAAATCATCAAGTTCAAACATGGTATGTCTTTTTGACAAATTCGATAAAAATTTATTTGAATTTTACAGTTGTAAACATATTCGAAGAAAACCCATGTTATACACAACATTAATGGTTATTATTTTGATTGTGATCATATGTATGCCAATAATCATTATTAAAACACGAAAGACAAATGACAAGCAAATGTTCACAACATCATTGATATTACATACAGAAAGTGTTTACTCTGAAGCAACATTTACAACAGAATCGACAACAATAGCAGGTAGAAGATTCTTACGTCTCGTTGTTGTTCTTATTTTCTTTCATTCGAGGACAAATGAAATGGAACAAAACAGGAATAACTATTATAAATGGATTCTTTGGTGTGTCGAGATTTTGTATTGATGATAATGACTCGAATATTTATCTTGTTGATTTTTGGAAGAGTCGCATTGTTCAATAGAATATTCATTCAAACAATGGAACAATTATTGCTGCGGTGGCAATGAAGAAGAAAATGAAAATTTTCAAGTGAAAACTCCAGATGATGTTATTATTGATAAATTTAATAAGAATGCATTGATCATTTGTGATTACAGCGGTGAAAAAGTCGTTCGATGGTTTTTACAAGACGAGAGAAATCCCGAAATAATCAAATCTTCTATCTTTTGTTCTGGTTTAGCGCTTGATAAAGATGGAGCTCTTTACATTATCGATACTCGTAACAACCAAGTCATACGAATAAAGCAAGGAGAGAAAAATGAAACAATCGTCGCAGGTAGACACGGATCGGGAACTGATCTCAATCAACTTAAAGCTTCGCATTATATCTATGTCGATAATGATTATTCTCTTTATATTTCAGATAACAATAACAATCGTGTCATGAAATGGACAAAAGGTGCAACACAAGGAATTCTTTTTGCCGATGGATCAAACAAGAAGATATTAGACGAACCTCATGGGCTTGTTATGGATCATTTGGGACAATTATATATCGTTGATAAAAACAATCATCGAATATTACGGTGACGTGAAGGAGATACAAAAGGTGAAGTTGTTGTTGGAGGAAATGGAAAAGGAACTTGGCCAGATCTATTCTATGGGCCGTCAGATTTATTATTTGATTCGAAATATAATCTTTACGTTGCCGATTCAGTTAATAGTCGAATACAAAAATTCGAAATTATTCATCATTAGAATTCAGTTTTTGTTACAAACTCAAATAAAATGTATTGAGAAGAGTGACGACGTGAATGTCAATAGATTGAACCAAATCTTAGAATCAGCACGTAAGACCCATGTGAAAAGGGTTACTTCACAAAATTTCATAAAAAAACGACTTACATACAGATGAAATCAATCGAAATAAAAATATTGAAAATGTTTTCATGATTATACGTTAAAATCCATTACAATATCTTGATTTACACGTGGAATTATTGATAATTCGAGGTACACAAGCCACATTTGTGCATCCCATAGTATTGCATAGTAACAAATATCCAAGATGATCAATTATCCATAATTGACCATGCTCAGCTGCACTTATTTCATATAGTCATCAAGAGAAAACGTTCTTTGAAAAATTAAGCATATAATTACAAGGATAAAGAACATTGTTGAAAATCTTTTCTCGTATTTCTAATGCAAAAAACTTAATCGAATCTAAAGTTTGGCGTCAATTAGGAGATGTGACGATTTCTGATGCAATAGATAATATGTGATGGGAGTATCGTTTATTCAATCCAAAGAAATCGCCCTATACTGTACTTTCCTCGCCCTTATATAGTTCTCGATTCATACATCATCATATCACAGAAAACTACCAAACTCTCCAAAATAATATCTAAGATGATCTATCGCTATCACTCGGTGAGGTAGTAGGTTAACAGAGAAAGTCAAAACATATCACGTATAGGTGTGAAGCTCAAAGGTCAACATCCAAACCTAAAAATCAACCTTCCGGTCTAAAGGTTGACATCTAATTACAAGCAGAAACGAAGGAAACAAACGATTGTTGTATAAGCGAAAAGGAGAAAAGAAGAAGAGGTGTATTATCAAAGACTGACACAGAAGAAGATACGATAAATGTTTATTAATGGTTTATAAGAAAGGGATGTGATGATTATATATAATAAATAATCTTATTTTACATTAGTTATGAGAAAGTAGAACAAATTTTCTGTACAATTTCGTTCATAAGAAGTCCCAATGTGTGAAGTATTCATATATGATGAATAATTTAACACGAAACAAACGGATCAAATCGAAGAATTTTATGTTGATCAATAAATGAAATTAATAAAACATAATTGGAAAGAAAAACAAGATCATAAATCCTATTTGTTGAATTTAAAGATAAATTCCAATTGCCGATTTCAAGTCCATTTGAATCAAAAATACGTAAACCAAAATTTGTATTAATAAACCAAATTCTTCCACAATCATCAACTGTTAAATGAGAACCCCATTGAGTTGTTGTTCCATTGACAAGAATTTGATGAGTCCACGTCAAATTTTCATATTTACATGAAAGAATTAATCGATCAGACCAGGTAGAAATATAGAAAAATGTTTCGTTTACTTTTGCGATTCCATGAATACTTGAATATGGAAGAGCGAAGACTCCCTTCGAAAAGCAAAAACAATTCAAATTGAAAGTGAAAAAAGAGAAAATTTTTTACTTGAATCGAATAATTTGATGACGAATAAAAATTGAAAATAGTTACAGATTTATTCTGTTGTGTTGGAACGATCATCGTTTGTCCATCATTTATAAAAATAATTTTTCTCACTTGATTCAATGTTGAATAAGTCAGATTTCCAATATAAACATTTGTTAATTTATTTCTCAAATGTATTCTGGGAGTTCCATCGACAGCTGTGAACATTTCATTGTTATACAAAGTCACAGTTAAGGAAGTCGAAAGTGAATTATTTTCAATCGCTGTCATTGTTATCGGATTGAACCAAAGAGAAGCGGGTGAACTCCACCAACCGACAACAGCTGCTTCTGATGGATAATTCGGATCATAACCAAGTCCAGATGGTGCAAATGAAAGATTCAATGCGATTGGAGAAGCATTTTGTAACCGAAGAAGAAGTTCAGTGACATTTGGCATACAACAAAGACTTTCATTGGGATATTGATTTTGAAGAAAATAAATTCGACTTTCATTTGATGAAATCAATTTATAAGATTTTGGAAAATTTGAAAAGAATTCACAAGAATTATTTGCAAAACAATTCAATGCCAAATAAGATACAGTGAATTGTTCACATAAACATTGTTCACATGAAATATTCAAACGTTTTGTCAAAGTCCAATTCGATATGCCAATTGGTTGAAGATAAACATTGTTAATATAAGGAATTGAAAGACAATCGAATCTCCAAAAAATTAAGAGAAGAACAATGAAAGATTTCATGGACTTTTCACGAGACAAATTTCAATTGTCGATTGTCCTTTTCAAATCTTTTCATGTCATCAAAGATCGAGCATTTTTTAATAGATTTTTACCGGAAAATTCTTTTACAGTCTCGATTAACCTACAAAAAACTGATTTCATATAAAAATAACCAACTATGTTTGAATAATTCTTCAAATTTAATTGACTTTTTTTCCGTCAAGTTCATAATCAAATAGATGAACAACTTTAAACTTTTATTTTGCTTGAATTGAGGGAGAAAGTGTGGAAGAGCAAAAATGTTGAATTTTTACATTCAAAATTTAGACTAAGAAAGTCAATACGAGTCATTTTTTTTTCTTTCGTAAACATTTATGTTTCATTACGCAATATGAACGAATATTACTTTTATAATACATTTCAGTTGTATTGATCATTTAGAATAGAAATGAAAAATAAACAATTAAGAAACAGAGAAAAGATGAAGAATAAGAAAAAAAATTAGCAAAATTACTTTTTTCTTTTCTCGTCAATTTTACAATTGTTCTCCGAGTTGCCATAGATTCATTGAAAGAAAGAAAAACATCGTTAATAATTCCTTTCATTGACATTTTAGTTCGAGATTTGAAAGGAAAAAGTCGAACAATTTCATGTCATCATCAACTCGTATTGAATGGATGTGGAAATCCAATGAAAATCCATGGGACTCTTCACAAGAAGAACAATGGAGTTCATATTCGGATGTGGAAACGGCAATGATTGAAGAAGCATTTCAAAATAATCTTTCGGAAATTTTATTGGATAATTATCATATTAATTTGAAGAAATCTCTTCAAATTTCCAATTCAAATGAAAATAATCAACGACCTATAAAACGTATTCAACGAAATCAAAGATTATCTGGAGGAAAACTTCGAGAAACAAGATTTCTTCCAACACCAATTCATCCAGAAACACCTTTTGCTGATCAACAATTATTTTTAAGTTATATTGGAGAAATTTTTTCAATGTTTCAAGTACAGGATAGTAATGCACTTCTTGAAACAAATAATCGGCAATTAATGATAAAAAAAGCAGCAGAAGGAATTATGAATGAAGGAAAACTTTTAGGGAAACAAAAAGAAGCGGAATGGATAAGTGAACAACTAATCAAAGTTATTAATGGAACAGATGAACAAATTTGGCAATGTTGTGCTCATCTTTATACAATGGAATCATTTTTATATCAAAAATTAAATGAATATATGAGACTTTGTGGAGATAAAAATCATAAACAACTTTGGAAAAATAAAGTTCAAATATTTGGACCATTTGCTTTTCTTCTTCAAATGCTAAATTTTTCAAAAAATTATCAAGAATTTTATGTTTATCGTGGAGCAAATTTATCAGATGAATTAATTAATAAATTTCGTAATAATATTGGTGCATATCTCATGTTTCCAGCATTTACATCAACAAGTCGAAATCGAGAAAAAGCTCAACAATTTGGAAATGTTCTTTTTATAATTCATACAAGTTCAACAAGTGGATTTGATATTTCACAATTTTCGGATTATCCAGATGAAGAAGAAACTTTACTTAATGCAGATTTCAATTTTTTTATTCGATCTTGTTCATTTGATCAAAAGAAAAACAAATGGATAATTGATATTTCTTCATGGAATGACCGATAAAAACATCATTTTTTTCTTCTTTTTTTGTCACATTCAATTTCACATTTGTTTGAATAAAATTTATGTTAAAAAGAAAATATTTATCAGACTGAACCCCAGTCAAACTTCTTGTGGCATGAACATGAGGAACAGACGATTCTGACTCCAGAATGTCATGCCGTCATGACGTATCTTGAGTCAGGACTTGAGGACAGGAAATTTGCTCAAGAACTTGATCTTCTTGCTCATTTACACACAATTCTTGATTTATGTGGTCAGTACATAATCAAGCACACGTCATGCACTTGAATATTATTGGAAATTAGCTGTTTTCTTACTGCTCTTAACACTTTTTCCAATACGAATGACAGTAAGCATCGTTTGCTGATCTCCATTTTACACATGATACGTAGAGAAGCAGAATAGGGGAAAAAAGAGACTATGCCTGGATTACATCACAACATATGATAAAAGGAAAAGGACGTATGCTGATTTGTTTATATACGAAAAACGAATAACATTGGGAGGATCTAACAGAAACAGATTTTTGTTTCGTATAGACTAGCAAAGTCGAAACAGTACGAAGTAGTATTACATAGGATATTGATTTATCAGTAAAATTCATTAGGAATATCTGATTAATTTTTTTGTGCTTTATACATAGTAAATCGAATTTCTAGACGACAAATCAATTTGAAATATGATGGATAAGCTCGGTCTTTTGCAAAAGTAAAAGGATTTAAACAGATCTTAGCATCAATTTCGGTAATTTAGTTTTCATTTTATGCTATTCTGTGTGATTTTTCAGGCAATCATCGAGAAGTCAACTCGTGATGCGGACAAAAACCTTCGAGGTGATATAGATCAATCAGTTCAGAACGCATTAGTAATGGAGTATTCAACATTGAATAGCGCTTCACTTAGTACTCAAAACGAATCTGTTCGCCAGTTAAAACATGACAATAAATGAAACTTGATTCGGCAAAACTTTCGAAATTCTCAAAGTGATGAGAATAATATTTGACCATGGGAAATGGACTTTAATTGCATCTTCAGTTATGATATTTATACGTCTTTCTAAACACATTGATGATCAATTGGCTTATATATTCGCATTTCGAAATAAATGTGTTGCCTCGAGAATGAATAGTAGATAATCTAGCATTTTCACATCGTAAATCGTATTGAACATCATTTTCTTTATTCTTGACTTTCATGCGCTTAACTGTCTGGCTCATGTGATTCTACGCATTTCGCAAATTGCATGTAATTTATCTGTGCATGACTCATGCAAGCGTTCAAGTGCTTCTCAATGGAAAGAAACTCAAGAGGTCATGACACATCTTGAGACCTGTCTGGCTCAAGAATGGTTAAAAAAAAGTTCGCCTAGGGAAGCTAGCACGAAGGAGCTAGCACGAAGAAACTGTGTGTAAGCTAAAAACATTTTTCCAAAGTTTGTCCGGTGAATAAAACCTAGTCATCAGAGTGAAGCTAGCACGAAGGAGCTAGCACGAAGAAACTGTGTGTAAGCTAAAAACATCTTTCCAAAGTTTGTCCGGTGAATAAAACCTAGTCCATTCGATTCAGAATTTAATTCTGCATTGAATGGTGTTATTTTTATTCACCGGACAAACTTTGGAAAAAAATGATCGGAAACATAAATAGACCTATATGAGGCAAACAAAGATGTGGTTAAACTTTGGAAAAAAGTTTTTAGCTTACACACAGCTTCCTCGTGCTAGCTCCTTCGTGCTAGCTTCACACTGATAAAATATTTCGATACTTTTATAATATTTATTGATCGTGGGTTCTTTTTTCAAAACAACTGCAACACATTGAACATAAAAAGAAGTTCTCGACTAAATTACAAGTAACACTCGTCTTTAATTAAACACAAGTAACGCTCATCCTTTGGATTCGCTGACCCTTTTCTGAAAGATTTTTCCTAATGCTGAACACGTTCAGAGACTTTGAAGGAGAAAAAACACACTGCGATTGCTACTAGTGCTCAACTGAATCATGGCACNCAAGTCGAAATCGAGAAAAAGCTCAACAATTTGGAAATGTTCTTTTTATAATTCATACAAGTTCAACAAGTGGATTTGATATTTCACAACTTTCGGATTATCCAGATGAAGAAGAAACTTTACTTAATGCAGATTTCAATTTTTTTATTCGATCTTGTTCATTTGATCAAAAGAAAAACAAATGGATAATTAATATTTCTTCATGGAATGACCGATAAAAACATCATTTCCTTTTTCTTCTTCTTTTCTTTCACATTTATTTGAATAAAATTTTTATTAATAAAGAAAAGATTTCGAAAATCGTAGAAAATATTGAGTATGATAATCATTAATAAGTTAATGAATAAAATACGCCATTATTTCTCAATTTCTGTATTTATTTGTTGATATCTTTAGAAATGTTTTTAATTGAATTATTTCTTTTTATTATTCGTCGATTATTTTGAGAAGAATTCTTGTTCAACATATTTCTTTTATTCATCTCTAACTGATTTAAATGTTTTTCCCTTTGATTTTATTCTTTGAAATCTTCCTGATTGTTTTTATTTCATAATACACGTGCACGAAAAACGTTAATTCCAGCTGTTCATTATGTGCATTTACAATCGATGAACTTTTCTTATCATCCAAAGCCAATAAATTTGTTGATTTAGATACTCAAATGAACAATATCACTTTAGCAATTATCGCATCGAGTGTATTTGGAAAAGATTTTCAGTCCATTAATCAATTATTACGAATTTTGGAATATCGAGCAATGTGTATGATTAATGATATATTTTTCATTGGTCGATTACCATTTTGGAGTAAAAATATCATCAACAAATGTCCGAAGGATATTTCTGATCGTCGACATAAAAAATCGATGAGTCTTTCATCGAATGAAGATTTACTTGATCTTCTTCTTTCAGAAATTGATAATCAAGAAGTTAAAGATCAAGCGTTGACATTCGTTCTGGCATAGGTCACGAAACAACCGCAAGTTTATTGATATGGGCTATGTATATTTTAATGACAAATGAAAAAGTTTTCGAAGCATGTCGAGAAGAAGTTGATCGAATACTTCCTAATGGAACTAAACGTATTCGTGAAAATCTCAATGAATTAATCATTTGTGAAGCCATTCTTCAAGAAATACTTCGTCTTTATCCACTTGCATTGTTTCTCTCACGAGAATGTATTTGTGAACATTACATAGGAAAAGAAGAACAACGTTAAAATACGTATTCCTGTTGGAGCGAAAGTAATGGTCAATGTAAAGTTCTTCATCAAAGAGAGGAATATTGGTCTCAACCAACTGAATTTGATTATACGCGATGAATGAGAGATCCAATTACAGACTTAAAACCAAGATTATCTCATCCATTTTGTTATTTACCATTTGGAGCTGAACCGCGGAATTGTATTGGTCAAAAGTTTGCTTAACTTCAAACGAAAATTATCTTAGCGATGTTTATTCAACGGTGCAATTTCGAAATCGAATTTGCTCAAAAGATCGTATTTTGCTCCAACATTCTCATTTTTCTTTTAAACAACTCAGAAAATGTCTCAAAGATTGCCATTGATTAACCAATATGAATGAGAATCGAATAAATGTCGATTTAAAATGTTCCATCTGTATTCAACCATATAAATCTCCAGTCAATTTACCGTGTCATCACACATTCTGCGAGGATCAAATTCTCATTTAATAAAATTAACAGATGGAAAGATTTGGAAGCAACTAAGCAATTTACATGTTCGATGTTTACGATGTAAAACGAGTAGCTAGAAGTTTAAAAGGCCATTTACAAATTTTCGCGGTATTAGAAGAAGAAATCGACTCGTCAATCTAAACGAATACGTCCAACAGCAATATCAATTGATTGTTCTACTCAAATGGTAGATACAAATGATGAGGATACTCAACTACAATCAATAAATTCGCACACGAGTGTTGCTCAGATGCCACAGGATAAAATGTCGATTAATATAGCCCTGTTAATGTTTGTCAATTTGAGTTTTATTGTTTGGAGAAGTGCAATTCATTCAAAATAAGTGGGGACAAATTTTATATTTCAATAAAGAAAAATGAACCTATTCGGAAAATAAAATTGTTTTATTGATGAAGTTCAAATGCGCTCATTATTTCTCAAAAGAAAATCAACAAAATACATTCTTTAATTCTTACAATTGTAACTATAAGCAACATAAACATTATGAAGAACAAAAGTACCTTCATGAGGTCAAGTTTTACAAATTTCTTTTCCGCCACATTCTGTGTATTTGCCCAAAAGACAAAGATGACTACAGCACTTCTTAGGATTTTTACCGGAATTCTCGCTACTGAGATCGAACTCTTTGCAAGTCACAGCCAAAGTTATAAGAGCCAAAACCAAGAGTATAACAGGTATTTTCTTCATCATTTTCTCGTTGTTTAATTATGATCACAGGAAAAAGTATGCGAATGTAATGTTAATGAAGAATATATTTTGTAATTCGTATAAATATCGCGTAAATAGTCCACTTTTTTTTCTTTGTTCGCATAAGAAGGAAAGGTAATTTATACTCATAATAGATAAACAAGAATGGCTGTATGATCTAATCATACATCTTGAGGAATGTGAAGTAGAACTGTATACATCTCCTGTCATATTCTCGAAACATAATTGAGATTTGTAGAAGTTTATTTCATTAGAGTAAAACAAAACACAGAAGAAAAGTATTGAAAGAGTTTAGTTTATGCTTATGAACGCTTGTGTACATCCAGTTGATTTCTAGAGAATAAAATGAGCTAATCATTGATCTATTATTAGTTGCAATTTACCTCTTTCTTAATTCAATTTTTACAAATAAGAACACGAAGAACACTGCCGGGAGGAGCATCAGGACGACGAACACAACCTTTTCTACAAACGGGCTCATGATTTCTATCACAGTATCCACAACGACCCATAATACAACGATTCGTGCAGCAATCAGCATCGCGACGACACTCTTGACCAACCGTTTTCTTCTTACATTTTTTAGCACGCTTATCAAGTTCTTCTCGAAGAATCAATTCGAAGTCATCAACAGCGCGTTGTTCAAAATCAGCGACTTCATCAGATTGATCATCAATATACAATCCATTGCAAATTGTTGTTGTCAAGGCGATCATAAGCAAAGTCCAAGCTAGGATAGTTATTTTGTTGACCATCTTGTTGTTATTGCTGTACACAATAATCAAAGCAAGCAATGTACAAACGAAAATTGTGTTTGAATCAGTAAACTGATGAGAAAACGAATTGATTCAAATATATATATATACATTGGCGGCGCGCCATAGAGGCGAGAGGAGGCAATTGCCTCCCCTATGGAAAATCTGGGGAGGCAATAAAAAGTTATTGCCTCTCCTAATATTCGCATCTTTTGATAGTTTTTTAAAGA